GAGGGGAGGAAGTCATGGCATGGCCGGATCCTATGGAGGGTGCTATTTTCTTGCACATGCGTACAGGTGCACACATTTTTATCATGAATAAAGAAAAAACAAGTAATTTTCAGACACATCATTTCACAGGGCTTTTTTTTTTTTTTTTTTTTTTTGATAGCACAGGTATGTGCATGAGACGCAGAGAGACAAACACTGCAGCCCCTTTCTCCAGCCCTTCAGCTCCTCAGGATCCTGGATCCCCACGCACATGCCCAGAATTTTCCCAGGCCGACCAGGGATTCAAACCCACGATTGGCCCATGGCACCTAGCCTTGCAGGGCACTCGCATTACTGCTGTGCCATGTGGCTGGACCTCACAGGGGATTGTTGAGAGAGAAAATGGTTGGGCCATCCAGCTAAGGATAATGGAACTTTTAAAGTATTTTTTAAGCTATCATTTATTAAATGCCTAATTTTCGAGTCATTGGAAAAAGTCATGACATGTTTTTCTATGCAAAAATACATCATAACTTTTCTGACAACCCAGTATATGCCAAGTACTATGCAAAGTAGTTTCTACCTCATGCTCACAAGGAATGTAGGTGCTATCATTATTTCCCTTTTTACAGAAAAGGAAACTTAAGGCTCAAGGGTTGAAGTAACTGGCCTGAGTTCAAATTGCCCAGGGCAGCACAGGGAGAAGGAATGGGACCGGGATTGAAGCCCGAGGCCATCTGGGTCTAGCCTTTTAATTACTCCTAGCTGGGCTACTCACCTTCCAAGCTTGGCTTCTTGTAACCTGGGAGAGAGATCTCCTATCCGACACTCTCCCTGTCACGGTTACCAAAGCCTAGTCTTGAGGGATTTCTACGTTCATGGTGCCAGCAGCAGGATTAAGCAGGTGATCCTTGTGTATCACTAAGATGAGAAGGACAATCTAAAAGGAATAGGGATAGACTGAGGTGATAAGGGAGAAACGAGAGAACAGATGTGGTTGAAGTATCGCGGCACTTCTAAATTGCCCCCTTCCCTGTATTCTTGCTACTTTCTTTATGATTTTGTACTTTCAAAATTATTTTACCTAAACAAAAATAAAAAATAGAGAAGAAAGTGTGTGGTTTCACCTTCCCCCCCCCCTTAAGTCTTCACAGTCAGTTGCTGGTGGCAAAAGTAATATTTTTAAAAATTTGTATTTATTATTATTTTTTAGAAAGATTTTTGCTATAGGATGCATGCACTTGCCTGAGACAGAAAGATACAGAGAGAAAGTGAGAAATAACCCTCCAAGGGGATGGCCCCATTGCATCCCTTCTCCGTTCTCCTCCTGGGATTTTAGGCATGTATGCACACTCATCTGGTGTTGTTTTTTTTTTTCTTTCTTTTTTTTTTTAAATTCATTTTAATTTGACCAGAGAGGGACAGAATGAGTGAGAGAGAGAGAGAAAAAGCAAGCTGCCAGGTCCGGGACACAAACCACAGTTGGCCATATTCCCTAAACCAACCACGCCACCCGCTGGCCCTTCCACTGTGAGTTTCCAGCCACAGGGTCCAGGACTCGAACCACGGTCAGCCATGTGGGAGTCCAGGACCTTAACTGCCATTCCGTCTGCTAGCCTCATCATTACTGTTTTTTAATTTGCTATAGGGCTTGTGTACTCACCACAGAGAAACAGAGAGAAAGTGAGAAAGTAAGCTGCCAGGTCTGGGACTGAAACTACAGTCAGCCAAGTGGGAGTCTAGCACCTTAACCCCCACACCACCTGCTGGCCCCAAAAGCAGTGTTCTTAAGTGCCATTCATTGGTACTGGAGCTACCAGTTGCCTTAGTTGCCTTGTGCCCTTTCTTTTCATCTCCCTCGGTAAGACCGAAGGCAGCTCTCCACAGTATGCTAGTCTCCTCGCCCCTGGTTGAATTCAGCAAGGATGCTTTGCCCCATATCTATCTATCTGTCTATTTTTTTTTTATATAAGCACTGGAAATTTAATATTTCGTGCTAATTGTATACACTGTAGATAAAGCCCAAGAGAAGTAAATTACAGTCCTACCAATAATACATCATATCCAGGCTCCAGTTTCCCAATATGAGAGAAAATGTGTATTGATGGAGACTCTCCAAATATTAAAAGCAATGCATGTAACGAGGCAGTGGGCACAGAAGCCAGTGGCTCCCACAGGACTGTGCTCAGGTCTCTGTTACCAAGGTCCTTAAAGGGGGAAATGGCCCAAACCGAAAGTCCCGAAGCTGGTGTTAAAGAAGCTATCTCGTCCCCATTCTCAGCAGCCCTCTAAGGGAAGCTTCAATCACAGGACAACCTACAGTCAGGGCACCAGTTTGCAGATTGCTTGGAACAATATTCTCTTTTTTTTTTTTTTTTTTTTTTGGGGGGGGGTTTTTTTTTAGGGGGCATTGAGACAGAGAGAGACAGAGAGATAGAAAGAGAAATCACCCCCCAGGGGGGATGGCCATGCCGCAATCCCTTCTCCTCCATTCTCCTCTTGGGATCTTGGGCACGCACGCATACACACCCGACATGAGTTTAAGCCACCAGGTCCGGGACTCGAGCTGTGGTCGACTACGTGGGAGTCCAGCGACATAGCCATTACACTAACTGCTGGTCCCGGAACCATATTCTTTTAAATATCCCAGACCTATGGCCAATGTCCAGGGTCTGCTGGGGTGACCTAGGATAACAGACAAGGGACTCTGGAATGCCTCAGTGCAGGTGGCAATATCTGAAAGACCATGTGGCTTCAGCACGCCTTTTTACCCTCATCCTGACCCAGCCTTCCAAACTTGTGTGTGATTCTCAAAAAAAAATAGGAAGAAGGAAGGACGGATGACAGGGCCAGGAGTCGCCCACTTGTACATGCAGTATATGTGTCATGCCATAGGAGCCGTGAGGGCTTTTCTCCCTTCCTCCTCCTTTTCTTTTTCCCTTTCTGGTACGTGCCAGCACCAAGGAAGCTAGACACAGCCAGAGTCCGTGAATTTCCTTTTATCCTCTTATCTTCCTTTCCCTATCTCCTATTCCTCTTCCACTCATCTTTTATTCTCTCCCATCATAACTCAAAACAGTGAGTTCCAGTAAAAGAACCTCCAGGGTGGCAGGTGGCTTGGTGATTAAGGCACTGTATTCCTACATAGCTGTCCACGGTTTGAGACCCTGACCCAGTGGCTTGAAAATCACGCTGGGTGCGTGTGTGTGCGTGTGCGCCCAAAATCCTAGAGGAGAGAGGAGGAGAAGGAACTGAGATGTGGCCCTGGGGGGGTGATTTCTCACTTCTCTCTTTGTCTCCCTCCAGGTAAGTGCACGTGCCCTGTGGTAAAAACCTAAACAAATAAATGAATAAATAATAAAGTGGCCAGCCTTAGCTGTAGAAGGAGCAAGGACAGAGAGCCGAGTCAGCCTCAGTAGTTCAGAGAAGTCTCTGGACTGGTCTTGTAGCCCTGAACCTGGGAGAGGGACATATACCACTTGATTTTGGTCCAGTTGCTTTTGAAGGAAAAAACCCAGGGGACAGTGGGGCTGTTAGATATTTGTTGGTAATGGTGACAGGAACATAGGCCTAGAAGTTACTCCTAAGTTTTAGTCCTGGTTGTGCCTCTTACTGTTACCTGTGACCACAAGCTAGTCTCATCTTACTCAGGATTTCTGTAAAATTATTATTATTTCTTTTAGAATTTTTTGTTATAGGGCACATATGCTCGTCAGAGAGAGAAAGAGAAAGTGAAAGTGAGAAAGCACCCCCCACAGGGGGTCCCTTCTCCTCCTGTCTCTTCTTGGGGTTTAGGGCATGCATGCATGTGTACCTGGTGTGATTTTCAAGTTGCAGGGTTCAGGACTCAAACTACATAGCCAGCCATGTGAGATCTAGCACCGTAACCTCCATACCACCCTCTGGCCCCTAATGACTTTTTTTTTTTTTTTAAGTTTCTTTCCATTGTAACATTTTATGGATATTAATTCTTGTCACTGAGATCATCATAGCTTTTATTTATTTATTTTATTTACTCATTCATTTATTTTTTAATTTGACCAGAGAGAGAAGGTGAGTATGAGAGAGAGAAAGCGAGAAAGCAAGTCACCAGATTCAGGACTTGAACCCTGGTCAGCCATGTGGGAGCATCCAGCGCCTTAACCACCACACCACCTGCTGGTCCCCAAGATCATTGTAGCTTTTGATTGGAGAGATGAGAAGCATTAACTCTCTTTCTGGGGCCAGCAGGTGGCTTGGTGGTTAAGATGCTGGACACTCCCACATGGTTGACCATGGTTCGAGTCCTGGACTTGGTGTCTTGCTTTCTCACTTTCCCTCTCTCTCTCTCTCTGTGTCTCTCTCTGGTCAAATTAAAATAAATGAATGAATAAATAAAATTAAATAAATAATTCTTTTTTAAAAAACCTCTCTCTCTCCCTCTCTCTTTTTGAATTTTGCCATAGGGTATGTGCACTTGCCAGAGAGACAGAGATGGAAAGTATGAAATCCCCCCTCAAGGGGGCTGGCCATGCTGCAGTTCCTTCTCCTCCATTCTCCTTTCAGGATTTTCGAAACACATGCACACGTGGTCAGCCTGTTTTTTTAGACCACAACCCGAACTGCGGAGTGGCCATGTGGGGTCTAGCCGCCTTAACCTCCATGCCACTTGCTGGCCCAACTCTCTTTATTTTAAGGACAGATTAGATTTTTATTCCTTAGGTACAATGAAAATAGCGGCCGACCAGACGGCACTGGGAAGGTCAGGCTAGCCCCGTGAGTCTTAAGTGTCTTCCGGCTCCCCTTGTTGTATCTTGTTTAAGTAGGGTGGGGGCAGTGGGGTACAAAGGTGTGAAGTACAAGTGGGTATAGGATTGTCTTGGCGCCCTACACCAGCTTAGGAGTGGATGTGAGGCCAGAGGCCAGGTCTTCCCTCTGTTGGGTGGCAACAATTCTCTGTGCTCTTTATCCTGTGCCATCTCAGAGCATTTCTTTGGGGTTTCTACCCAGAGTAACACTGTTTCCTCTTCTCTCTGTCCCAGTACCTCAACATGCTAAGGACTTGCGAGGGCTACAATGAAATCATCTTCCCCCACTGTGCCTGCGACTCCCGGAGGAAGGGGCACGTTATCACAGCCATCAGCGTCACGCACTTTAAACTACACGCCTGCACCGAGGAAGGCCAGCTGGAGGTGAGAGGGCAGCCAGGCGCTGGGCCGGGAGCACCAGGCCTGCCGTGATGCTTGCTTGCTCTGTTTTAGCGCCTGAAACAGGATGGGCATCTTCAGTCATTCTGCCTTTGCCCCCCTGGTTCAAAACCCTCTTACCCTAAGCTCCCCAGCACACTCGGACTCAGACTATAAACCTTGCTCTCTTGATCTTGGTTGTCCAGAACCAGGTAATAGCGTTTGAATGGGATGAGATGCAGCGATGGGATACAGATGAAGAAGGAATGGCCTTCTGTTTCGAATATGCACGAGGAGAGAAGAAGCCTCGATGGGTTAAAATCTTCACCCCATATGTGAGTGGGAGATGGGAAGCATACTTGGGGAAATGGGTTGGGCTTAAAGTCCTCTTTAAGCTAAATGCACAAATGGAGAGACATGGGAAGCTGGACTGGAGGTGCGAGATCTGAAGCTGATTGCAGCCTAGAGCCCCGGGTTCACCCTATCCTCCCTTAGGTCTGAGCAGGATGGGCAATTTCACATCCTGCTTGACTTCCAGTGACCGCTAGAAGGAGCTAGAGAACAGTAGATGGGCCAGGCCAGGTTTTCTGATAATTGTCAGGGTTTCTCTCATGTGAGTTTAGATCATGTGAGTTTAGAAAATGAGGAGGTGAGGGTGGGGACAGGAGTTCAAAGGTGTGGCCCTGTGGTGCCTGATCTTGGGGAGTCAGTGAGTGTTGTTCTTTTTTTTTAGTTCAATTATATGCATGAATGCTTTGAGAGAGTGTTCTGCGAGCTCAAGTGGAGAAAAGAGGTAATTCTAAACAATTCTTTGATTGACTCATCTTTCACTTGTTTGTTTAAAATTTATAGGCCTGTGGCCAGATGCCTCACCTCCATCTCTGTCTTTCTAGGAATATTAGTTAGTCTGTTTGTCCAGAGTGAACCAGGACATTCTGCCTGTGGGGTTGGCCTCTGGTTGATGAAGGGGCTGTGCCAAAAAGCCCTGCTCTCCCTGGCCTAGAGGGTAGACATTGGCTACAGGCGATTCCATCTCTCACGATGTCATGGACCCTCTGCCTGCTTTTAAATCAAATCACCCTGCGTGTCATTCGTGGGGGGGCAGCCAGGCGCTGGGCCGGGAGCCCCAGGCCTGCCGTGATGCTTGCTTGCTCTGTTTTAGCGCCTGAAACAGGATGGGCATCTTCAGTCATTCTGCCTTTGCCCCCCTGGTTCAAAACCCTCTTACCCTAAGCTCCCCAGCACACTCGGACTCAGACTATAAACCTTGCTCTCTTGATCTTGGTTGTCCAGAACCAGGTAATAGCGTTTGAATGGGATGAGATGCAGCGATGGGATACAGATGAAGAAGGAATGGCCTTCTGTTTCGAATATGCACGAGGAGAGAAGAAGCCTCGATGGGTTAAAATCTTCACCCCATATGTGAGTGGGAGATGGGAAGCATACTTGGGGAAATGGGTTGGGCTTAAAGTCCTCTTTAAGCTAAATGCACAAATGGAGAGACATGGGAAGCTGGACTGGAGGTGCGAGATCTGAAGCTGATTGCAGCCTAGAGCCCCGGGTTCACCCTATCCTCCCTTAGGTCTGAGCAGGATGGGCAATTTCACATCCTGCTTGACTTCCAGTGACCGCTAGAAGGAGCTAGAGAACAGTAGATGGGCCAGGCCAGGTTTTCTGATAATTGTCAGGGTTTCTCTCATGTGAGTTTAGATCATGTGAGTTTAGAAAATGAGGAGGTGAGGGTGGGGACAGGAGTTCAAAGGTGTGGCCCTGTGGTGCCTGATCTTGGGGAGTCAGTGAGTGTTGTTCTTTTTTTTTAGTTCAATTATATGCATGAATGCTTTGAGAGAGTGTTCTGCGAGCTCAAGTGGAGAAAAGAGGTAATTCTAAACAATTCTTTGATTGACTCATCTTTCACTTGTTTGTTTAAAATTTATAGGCCTGTGGCTAGATGCCTGGGACCCTCACCTCCATCTCTATCTTTCTAGGAATATTAGTTAGTCTGTTTGTCCAGAGTGAACCAGGACATTCTGCCTGTGGGGTTGGCCTCTGGTTGATGAAGGGGCTGTGCCAAAAAGCCCTGCTCTCCCTGGCCTAGAGGGTAGACATTGGCTACAGGCGATTCCATCTCTCACGATGTCATGGACCCTCTGCCTGCTTTTAAATCAAATCACCCTGCGTGTCATTCCTGACCCAGAAGGGCACTGTCCTCAGTGTCAGCTATTTGACTAGAGGAGTCCTGACGGTCATCCTAGGCTAACTAAGAATGGGGAGGAGGGGGTTCTGCTACTGCTCTGCCACGGCCTGGCTATGCCGCCGTAGCAGGATTTGGAAGATTCTGAACTATTAGCTGCTCATTCTCAAAGAAGACCTTTCAGGGGATCAGGAGGTATAGTCAGGACCATTGATATTCTTAGGGTAGCAGACAGAACACTGAGCTGAGGGGGTCAGATCTGGGTTTCTCCTGTCACTGAGAGTAAGGCAGCCTCCCTCCCTCTGTCTTCTCCTCTGTAAAACGGGAAGCCTGAACTGGCTCCCTCTGTCTTCTCCTCTGTAAAACGGGAAGAATAAACTGGTCCATTATTACCCTAGATCCCTTCCAGCTCTAAAAGGCTATGATTCTAGATGGAAATTTCTAGCAAGGGCAGAGGCCACTCTCATTGAGGTCCCAGCTTGTTATTTCTATCTAAGAAGTTGTCTCCAGATGGAAGGAGACGTGGACGCCTATGGTTTCCCAATAACTCTTATCTTTTTTTCCTTTCAGAACATTTTCCAGATGGCGAGGTCACAGCAGAGGGATGTGGCCACCTAGCCTTTCCTTACTCGCCCCTTCCCTTCTCTTCACCCTCATCCTCTTACCCTTTCATCTCCCATGTCAGACAGAGTAACCATTAACACTCAAAAGAAGAGAAAAAGGAAACAAAGTCATTATATTCAAAAGCCCTCAACTAAATATTATTAATAACCCCCCTGAATTTCATGTCTCTTGAATTGAGCTGGTAGAGAACGACAGATTGAAGTGAACTGAGTTAAGACAGGAAAAGAAATAAGCCCAACCAACTCACCAAAGGTATCTTTGTCCTTTCACCTGGGCCTCATACCAACAGACTCTCCTTGTACTATATTTTTAAAACTGGAACTATGAACTTCATCCATTTGCACTGTTCAGACATATATATGTATGTATGTAAAAAACTTATATATACACAAATTAGCTGCACGTATATACATATATATATTTCTTTTTAAATTTCATATCAATGGCAGTACCTTTTTTAGCTTGTGTTTTTACACACCTTTCACTAGAATTCATGACCTATCTCTTGCTCTCTTTATTTTGACACAAACTTTAAAAAGGAAAAAAAAAAAACATTTTACAGGGAAAAATACCTCTCCTCATGAAGGACTTGAAACGTTTACAACCTGCTTGGGTTTTTCCCCCCTTTTTTGTATTGAGTACTGATTCTGGCTCGTGGTTTGCCATAGAGTCTGAGGAGCAAGGAGTGTAGTTTCTTTATCTTCCAAGAGGGTGCTGGGCAAGAAAAAGGTGTGTTTCTCAAGAGCAGCAAGGCTGCAGATCTGCAGGGAGAGTCTAAAGACTTGGTGGTCTTCTGAGTCCAGGCCCTTTTCCTGGCACATCTCTCTCCCATGCATGGCTTCCGGCCACGTTCTGCGTCTCCTTCCTACTTCCTCGGGCCCCTACGATGCTTTCCTCCAACCGGCCCAGAGGAAGTGCGAGTGGGCTCAGAAGGCAGATGCCCCGGGAATCTGAAACACTTCCTGGTGTAATTTCCTGTTTCCCTGCCTTGTCTGTGGCAGGGATTTTGTAGGGACCAGAGTTAAAGCCGATACCTTGGGCACAGAGGTTGGACTTGCATGGGGAAAAGAAGGCAGCAGCGCCCTGTGTACATGAGGTTTTACCTTCTCCATTCCTGACCAGGGGCCACCCCTGCCTGGTACCTTCTCTGTGACTGCCTGAACAGCAGCGTTGGGGAGGGATCAGACCTTTGATGTCTTGGGGAAACTTGGGCTAGGTCCGTGGCCTGCCACCGGAGCCATACTCCCGCCCGAGCAGCTGAGGGCCCAGTAGGAGGCATGTGGCTGGTTTAGGTTGAATCTTGTCTGACCTGGCACTTAGACCTTTGAGACCTCAGACCTGTGTCCCAGGCTCAAGGTCAGGGCTGGAGGGCCGGGGTGACACACTCAGTCCTAGCTCCGCAGACAGTGGAGCACTGAGTCAGGCTCGGGTGCACCTGAGACACAGCTCCGAGCTGTTTCTTCTTCCCTGCTCTGCCTCCGGCATCTTCCGCTTGTCTAACTAGGAGGCCGTTGTAGTTGGTTGTAGTCAACTCAGCTGAGCAGTGTTGGGGTGGTTTGAAGTTTCTTTTTTGTAACTTGTTTTTGCAGAGCATTTGAGGCCACTTTTCCTTCTCTTTGACCCTTTTCCCGGCAGCCACTTACCCCAGGGAGGCATGGGATCACATAGGACATCCCTTTCACCCTCCCCTTCTCTCCAAACCTAGGTGGGATCACAGAATGCAAGATGTAAGAATGCCAAGTGTTTAAAGTTGCAGAGAATAATCTCTGATTTGAAGGCTTTGACACAAGATCAACTCCTTTTGGCTTAAATGAATTTAATGAGCCAGAGGACCCTGAGGAGGAGATACGTTGATTTCCCACTCTAAGATGCTAAAGAGGTGCTTTTTGCACCATCTCTGTGTAGACTGTAAAAATAGCAGCATCTGCCCCTCTCCTCCCAGGGAGAGAAGAACGAACAAATCCAGGAGTCCCCGATACACCCAGATGCCAACCTCGGACGTGTGGCAGGGGTTTGGAGACCCCTTGGAGGGGGACGTGCTGTCCTCTTTCCGGCATGGCTTTCACTTGGTGCTTTGGAGGTTGGGTGAGGGACCCCGTAGGTAGTTGGCCTGTTGGCAGAATCTGTTTAGGAACAGCCGATCTCGAGGCTGTCCCTCTGACAGCACCCGGCTACAGCAGGTAGGTGGGAAGTAGGGAGACCCTAAGGGAAGCGACTTCTTCTCTTCCACCCCCAACAGGCCTCCAGTGCTGGAGCACAGGCCACTGTGGCTGTGGAGGGCCACAGGATCAAGCCCTTCTTTGCATGAAGCAGTGTTAGGTGTGACTCTTCCCCCATTTCCTCTGTATTTCTTTTTCTAATCTCTGCTACTTTTCTTAGTCCTGGCTTCTGCCCAGGGAGGCTTCTACCCAGTCTTCTTTTGCAATTTGTCTCTGGGAAAGGGGGCTCCCCTCCCCCCAGCTTTGCCCCAGCAGAGCCAGCAGAATCTTCCTGGTCTCCCATCATCTCTCATCCACACATGGTTTCTATCTTCTGGGGCAGAAGAGCTCAGAGCTTTTAATGGATCAGGAGATAATGCCAGCCCTGAGAAACCTGCCCCTGGAGAAAGGTTCCTTTGGGCCATGCTTTGAGCTCTCTGCTCTGTTTTTATTCGATTCTCCAATTTCTGTCCTCCCCTTGCCTTGGGCCTAAGCTCAGCACAGCACAGCAGATACACAGGAGTGCGTGCTTAGGGCAGCTCCTAGGCCTGGACCGAGCTCTCAGGGAGGAGTTAGAGAAATATTCCAGCATCCTCATGCCTGGCCCTTTTGGTTTCAGCATTTCGTTACCCAGCCAGTAGCTTCGGGTTATCCGTTGTAGCTCCAGACCCAGTGCTGGGAGCAGAAAAATAGGGTACTTACAGGAACTGACACCTCTCTCTCACGTTAGAATTCGCCAAGTATGGGCCTGGCTCCCAGGAGGCAGTTTTCTTCCAGGGGCTGCCCCCTAGCTGACCTGATGTCTCCAGACCTGGAGGGACTGCTGTGCCCGCCCGTCTCTCCATCCGCCGTCTGGCTGGACTGACACAGCAGTAGAAGTGGTTTGGTCTGTTGGACCCCGTCATGCTGCTCTTTCTTCACCAGCTTCTTTGTGTCACATTGGCTTCCTTCTGGAGGGATGATGCGGCCGAGTCCTCAGAGAAGGGGGAGGGAAGGAGGGTAGAGGCGCTGGTCTGCTTCTCTAGTTCCCACCTCCCAGCCCCACCCCGTCTCCCTCTTCCCCGAAACCTGAGCACGTCAGGCCAGGCCTTGTTGGTACCAGGACAGCATCAGCTCACTCCTCAGCAATAACCTAGGGTTTGTGGGCGGCTTTGGGCTCTGGGGAGGAACAGAATCGAAGAGGGGAGTGATGCGGGTGGGGGCACTTGGCCATCTGCTAACTTGGAGACCCATTTTGTATCCTGCCCTCCTCTTAAGCCGGTGAGCTGGGCTTCCGTTTTTCCCAGGTCATGCACACCTTTAATTTATTTGAGAGAAACTCTAATTGTATTTTCACTGCAGTATCTTGTATTTTTTATTTGTGATTTAAGAAATGTGAAGAGAAAATACAGACACATAATGGCTAACAGTGTTTCTTTCATTCCTTGTTCTAGAGCTAACCACTCTAAAATTGTTTGGTAATGTCACTTAGTGTAATTAATTGTAACATATTCTTTTAAATAAATTGATTTATTGATGAAACAATTCTTTGGTTTCCTAGACTACAAATCCTTTGGGTTGTGTGGGAAGAAATGAAGAGGGACCTTTGAGATTTGAGTTAGAACGGTCAGTCTGAAAATGAGCAGGATCATCCAGCCAGTCTTCCCGAGGAACCAGCAGGGAGTCTCTCAAGGGCAGGGGAGGGAAGAAGTGTAGGAAAAGGAGCAGGGAGGCCCCCGGTCTGCAGTTCTCTTCCCAGTGGCTCCTTTGAAAATTCCTTCTCAGATCTGAGTTGACTGAGCTTACTCACCCTGCCTGCCAGTCTGTACAAAATTTTCTTTCTTTGCTTTTAAAATTTGCTATAGGGCGTGTGCACTTGTCAGAGAGAGACAGAGAGAGAGAGTGAGAAATCACCCCCTAGTTGGCAGAAGCTATTTAGGAACAGCCCTTCTTTGAGGCTGTCGCACTAACAGAGCAACCGCTACAGCAGGTAGGTGGGAAGGAGGGAGACCCTAGAGGACTGCGACTTCTCTTCTACCCACAACAGGCCTCCAGTGCTCCCCTCGGGCTCCTGGGCATGTGCACACACACATGCCCGCTGTGATTTCCAAGCCCCTGGGTCTGGGACTCAAACCAGGCAGCGAGCCATGTGGGATCCAGCTGCCTTAACCTTCAGGCCACCCGCTGGCCCCACAAAATCCTCTTTTAAGATTTACAGAACTTCTCTACCAGCCTTCTGGGGATAGAACCTGGCAGAGCCCTTGGGACACATCTTAGCACTGTCCTCAGTTCCCATCCCCCTCACAGCAATGTGGCTGTACCTTTTCATTTTTCTAATAACTCAGGACGCTTTCTCTCTGGGATCTGAACTGAAAGGTGTACCTCATATTTCCCCCGAGAAATGCCTGGCACAGTACTAGGCACTGGGGGTGGTGATACCCCCCTGCCCTTTGCTCTTACCTAATGGGAGAATTTTCTTTAGTGAGGAAACTGTTCCTAGAAAAGTAGAAAGTAGGTTAGAATGATGTCAAACATTTATTAAATATCTACTGTGTGAAGGACATTGTATGAGATGCTCCAGCAGGTATAGACCAGAAACATTGCGCTAGCTTTCAGCTTCACAGAGGAATGAGGCATCTACAAATGACCACGATACACAGCAGGGGCATGTGTAAGACCAGAGGAACAGAGGCGAGAAAGGCCGGTGGGCGAGGGCCGACCCGTTTGGCATGAGCCAGATTGCAACAAGAAGACATTCGACAAACATTAAGCCATTATGTGCCAGACACTGAATGAACTGGGAGTAAAAAGACATGGAGGGAACAAAAATAGACATGAAGGGGAAGAGGATCAAGCTCGCTCAGACAACAGTGGATAATCCTGAGGCCAGCAGGTGGCGTAGTGGCTTAAGGCCTTGGACATCCACAGACCAGATTGAGTCCTGGCACGCATATATAAAACCCTGAGACACTGGAGAAGGAATGGTGGCATGGCCATCTCCCCTTGGGGGAAGAGCTGATTTCTCACTTTTCCTTTTTCAGGCAAGTGCACGTACCCTGTTGCAAAAACTTACAGAAAAAAAAAAGGAAAATCCTACTTGAGATTGTAAAGTACGTGTAGGAAAGGGGTGGACAGTAAGAAGAGTCCTGAAAGCCAGGCTAGGCGCTCTACATAAAAAAGCAGCAGAGATGCTCTTATTGTTTTATTATTTTTTAGAATCACTCATTTTTAATCTATTATTCTTTTAATTTGCTATAGGGGCACTTGTGCTCAACAGAGGGTGGAGGGAGTGAGAGAACAAGCTGCCTGGTCCGGGACACGAACCGTGGTCGGCTATGTGGGAGTGCAGCACCTCCACCATGCCACCTGTGGCCTCACTCTGTTTTTATCAGTTGCGGTTTCAAAAGACTGATGTTTTAGAAGATAGCCAGAGGGATCAGTTAGGAGACTGCTGTGCTTACTCAGTTACCATGATCATCGCAAGGAGAGAAATGGATATGAGAAAAATGGAAGTGAAACTTTTCACAATTTAATAACATTTCATTTATGTGAGAGAAGTAAAAGACTCCCAAGGTTTCATGTCTGTGTGGCTGGAAAATAGAAATATTTAAGAGTTGAGACTTTGGGGGAGAGAATGTATAGCTTTATTGTGATTTGGGTACAGTGGGAAATCCAGTACAGATGCCCAGCAGTCATTTCTTGGTGATTTACAAAGCAACTTTGCATGTTCCTGGCACCGTTCAGGGTGATGGAGACAGTGGTGAACAAGGCAGAGTGCGTACTATCTGTGAATCAACTTTTTAAAATAAGAATGATTTAATTTTGTTATTAATTCACTGGGGGCAGGGGAGAGCAAAACTGTACATTGCCGGATCCAGGACTCTAACCACAGTCAGCCATGTGGAAGTCCAGCACCTCAACCACCACACCACCTGTTGGCCCCTGAGTCAACTTTTAAAAGATAACTCTGGGCCCAGCCACAGTGATGCAAGTGGAGGGTGTGGTGGCACTGCTACACAGACTGTGCTGACTAGGAGGCCTGGGTTGGGTTCCTGGCTCCCCAGACAGCCCCAGAACGGTGGTGCATGCCTGTAATTCCAGCTGACTGGGAGGCTGGAGCAGGTTTGTGGCATGGTAACCTGTCAAAAGGAACCCTCGCTCTCCATCTCTGTCAAAAACAAAAACTGGCTTCCTGGAAGAGGTTGGAGGAGACAAGGCTGCAGGCCTCTGGTGGGGCACTGTGCGATGGAAAGACGTGAGGTCTGCCCTGCAGTGTAGAGGTCTGCCCTGCAGGTCTTTGCAGCTGGGGCACAGCCAAGTCAGGAGAGACAGCGTGCCATCAAAGGGCTGGCTTGGGTACCTCAGCTGCGACTTACTAATGGAGAAGAGTTACCACTGAAACGAAGGAGGAAAATTAAGCATCACATAGCCAGGACTTGTTTTCACTGGGCAGAGAGGATGATGCCAGAAGTTGGAGGGAGCCCCATTTATGGGGACCAAGAGGAAGCTGACCATTGTGTGAAAGAGACTGAATGAGGGGCAGAGGACCAGGAGCCTGGGTCAGGGCTCTTCAAGTCCTCAGCTTTGGAGGAGAGAATGAGGCTTGGCCATGAGTGGGAATTCCTTTAGTCACAAGTACGGGAAGCCCCTGGCTTGGACATTTTGGCAGGAGATTGACAGAGACCGAGGGAACCCTGGAAGTCCGGAGGCCAGTGGCTTTTGAGCTCAGCAGGGTCCAGCCCCAGAGGAAGTGGGGTGAGGGGGCTTGGAACACACTGAAGGAACTATTAAAGCTCCTCCCCCTGCCCTATTCCCACCACCTTAGTCTCCCTGAGGATGCTTTTCTAAACGTCTGCTTTCGTTTCTACAACTGAAAGGCTTCCTCCAGTCCCTGCTATTAACTTGTCAGCCCCAGTCTTCTGCCTTTTCTTTCCTTCTCCTTATACCACCATTAACATTTGAAGTAACATTATTATTATTGTAGAAGAAACAAACTAAAGGTGGTTTATGAGTTGATCTTTACAAAAGGGGCTGGGACACCAAGGCCCTGCCTGAGGAGCGGGGAAGGAGACTTCCCAGACCAGTTACCTACGGCTTCCTACACCCAGGGGGAAAAACCACCGTTTTATCATCACATCACACTGGGAGAAGCCCTCGCCCAAAGCCCCTCCCCGGGCTCACAGTGGTGGGTGGTGAAATAGTGCCCTGCAAGGCTGGCACCACGGGAGGCTCCAGGATCATGTCGGTAGACCACGTGGCTGAGTACACCTGCACACACACGCCTATGAGCTGGGGTGAGCCGAGGCTGTGGGTGGATCACAGTGTTACCCTATTGGGGGGAGGGTTAGCAGGTGGTGTGGTGGTTAAGGTGCTGGGCTCTGACATGGCTGACCACAGTTCAAGTTCCAGACCTGACGGCCTGCTTTCTCACTTTCACTCTCTGGTCAAATTTTAAAAATAATTTTTTCTTTTCTTTTTTTTTTTTTGAGAGATTTTTACTATAGGGCATGTGCACTCATGAGAGAGAGACAGACGGACAGAAAGTGAGAAATCACCCCTCAGGGGTATGACCACTTCACAGTCCCTTCTCCTCTCGGGATCTAGGGCATGCACACACATATGCCCGGTGTGTTTCAAGCTGTCAGGTCCAGACTCAGACCACAGACAGCCATGTGGGAGTCCAGAGCCTTACTACACCACCTGCTAGCCTTGATACATAATTCTTTTTTTTGTTGTTTCTAAAGAATTATTTAACTTTATTAATTTATTTACTTTTTTTTTTTTTAAACTTGATCAGAATGGGATGGAAAGAAAGAGAGAGAGAGGGAAAGTGAGAAAGCAAGCTGCCAGGTGTGGAACTTGAACCACGGTCAGCCATGTGGGAGTCCAACGCCCTCCACCACCATGCCGCCTGCCAGCGCCCAATAAATAATTCTTTAAAAAATAAAAAGATCTGCTAAAAAATAAAATTAAAATAAAAAAAGACCCTATTGGGGTTGCTGTCTCTTTTTCTCTGTTTCTTTTATTCATGGACTAAATAAATGAATAAAAAGAATAAATAAAACTTTTTTTTAAGTAAACTAATATTGACATATAAATCAAGCCAACCCACCTCCCATTTTTCTGTCCTGACTCAGCTCTCAAGGGAACACGCGTAGATACTGCATAGAAGCCGCCATTGTCCCCCTTTCCACAGGCACTTCCCACCTCTGATGACACACACACCTGGATCTCCAGCCGAGATTTCAGATACTGTTTATTTGGCTAAGAATCCTGACTGGAGTCTCTTCCCCTTTGTAAGGTCCCATTTCTCACGTCCAGCAATCTGAGAGACATTTTCTCCTGAAATGATGTCCACAGATGGGTCTCCATAGTTTTTAACATTTTGCTTGTTTTTCTTTTTTTTTTTTCCTGAAGAAAGATTTTTGCTACAGGGTGCATGGTCTCACCGGAGAAACAGACAGACAGAAAGCAAGAAATTACCCTCGGGGATGATGGCCCTGCCGCAATCTCTTCCCCATTCTCCTCCAAGGATCTTGGGCCCACGAGCACATGTGCCTGGCGTGAGTCTTAAGCTGCCGGGTCCTGGACTCAATCTGTGGTCAACTGAGTGGGAGTCAAGCAATGTAACCATTATGCCATCTTCTGGTCCCATTGCTTGTCTTTTTAAATATCCTTTATTTTGAAGCAGTTTAAGAGTAGTATAAAAACTTATACTTCTGCCCTTACAAGAGAAGGGCACAGCCAGCAGGTGGCATGGTAGTTAAGGTGCTGGACTCCCACCTGGCTGACAGTGGTGCGAGTCCCAGACCTGCTGGCTTGAGAATTTCACCATGTACAGGTGTGTACCTGCCCAGAATCCCAAGAGGAGGGACTGCGGCGTGGCCATGCCCCTGGGGGTGCTTTCTCACTTTCCCTTTCTTTATCTTTGGCAAGTACACACACCCTATAGAAAATAAATAAATAAAGGAAGAACACAAGTATAAAGGGGAGGCAGCCATGGGAGTGCAGTGGTGGCACTATGCTCTCTGACGCTGGACCCTGGACCCACGTGGGAAGGTCCCAGGTTGGCATCCCAAGGCTGGTTTTGGGGGTGGGTCACGTTGCGATGTTCCTGTTGAGGATGCCTCTCTCTCTTCCTCTCTCTCTCTCTCCCTCTGAAGTAAACGTTAAAAAGAGAGAAGACAGCGGCAGGGTAGCAGGTAGCTGCCTGGAAGCCACGCTCTGCTCTAAGTCAGACTACCCCTTGTGATCCCTCCAAGCTCAGCCCTAAAGCGGGCCCCAGAATTGGAGAGACCTCAGGGCTGTGCCACCTGCACTGTCTGATGGGGGTCAGTGCTGCAGCCGCTTGCTACTTGAGATCTTTGCTTGCGGTCAAAGAACAGGTGAGAGGGCGCATCATGGGCTTTGGCGTCTGACGAACTGGGTTCAGCTCCTGCAGCCGTCCCTCACTGGTGCTGTGACACTGGGTCACGAAGCTAGCTAGCCTTCACAGCCTCCTTTTCTCTGTAAATGAGAGCCTGCCATACTGGGTGGCCAGAGGTTAAGTGAGGAAGCACCTTAAGGGCCTAGAAAGAATCGTACACAGCGGAGGTTACGAAGTGGGGTTGTTAGAACTAGCTCCCGGTATCCCTCCGGCTTAGGTGTTGAAGTCTAGAATCTGAGACTCAGAGGCGCAGGGCTGGACACAGGAGAGAGGCCTGCTCACCTGCTCGCCGCCCTGTACCCAGCTCTGCAGAACATTCCAGAATTAAGCACCCACGAAAGAGCAGAAAAATACAGTCGCGAAGCCATGAGCAAGGCCTGGACCCTGCCGCAAGGGCTGGTCTTCCCTGAATTTTCTCTCCCCAGACTCATTCTTCTTACCTTCCTCCCCCTCCCCAATGTGCACGGTCCCTACCCTCAAGAGTCTTATTTGATGCTTTTAAACTTTTTTCTTTATTTAGACAGAAAAGACCAACTCTTTAAAAGTAAAATGCAATAAATAAATAAGTTAAGCATAGAGAACTGTCTGAAACTGACTCCCCGGTCTCCCCAAACCACTCCCACCCCCACCCCATTTTCTTTTCCCTAAAACCTCTTTCTAAAGAAAAGGATCAGGTAATAAACCCCTTTAGCCCTCCCCACGCCCCTCCTCCCAAATACCCAATTACCCCCCAAAGCAAAAGGAGAAATCAAGAGAGAAAAATCCAAGGGCAACATTGTCTAAACTCCCAGAAAGAGCTGGCAGCGCCGGGCGGGCTGGGTAACGCACGGTGGTCGTGGTATTTACACGGAGGGGACCAGCAGAGACTGTAAACATTTTTAGGGGTTCAGGGAAGGAGTCTTTTCCTCGTGAAAGGAGGAGGGTCTCTGTGGCTGACTGGCAGAGAGGCAGCCCTCAGGCTCCCCCACACCCTCCTTAGAGGGGGCCCTTGGGGGAGGCAGTGAGTTTTAGGGCCGGGAGCCCAGGGTTCAGGGGTGTCCTACCTCTAGCTGAGGGCGGAAGGGAGTGTGGGAGCCAGCTTCCAAGAACCCCCCAGTGTGGGGGAGAGGCTGGGAGGGGGTGGGCTGGGGGTATGT